ATTGTTTAATCCAGATCGGTCACATGCAGGTAGTTTGAAGAACATGGAGTCCTCAGACTGTGAGACACCGGTGAAGAAACCCAAAAGTGCTTCTGGTTTGTGCCTCATGAATCCCACACGGTGCTGCCCTGCTACAGGGTTAACCAGCCTGCGTCCCTCTGAGGCACAGGAGTTTCTAGCACAGCGACTTCCTCCTTCTCCCCTGGCAGGAAACAGCTCTGCAGGGCCCGAGGAAGCTTTAGGGGACCTACARCAACTCTCTGTGCTATGTAACTGATACAGCAAAGATAAGCAGGGGAAGTTTTCTCCAAAGTTCTCCTTCTGCTGGAGCAAAGGACCCTTTGTAGGCAGGGAATGGCCAAAAGCAGACAAGAAACAATGGGCAGAAAGGGTGTGGGGAGAGTTCTGTGCCCAAATAAGCACTAACGATCTACGTTTTCGGGGTGCTTGTTACATCCTTCCCCGCTACAGAAATGGGTCTGTGTTCCCCTTACCAGCATGGCACACAGCATCAGAATAACTCACCATGGATTATCCCAGACACAGCTCAGAAGTCTGGTTCTGCAGGAAAGAAGGGCAGAGCGTTAAACTTGGGGGCAACCACCACCCCCTCTCCGCTGTCCCCACAAGGTTCTCCCCCAGAAACAGCCCCAGTGCAGTAACCAGAGAGCGGGRTACCACCACCCGCCCCGACTCCTGCATCCTTCTTTATATTCACACAAAATAAAGCAAAAAAATCACTTCATGACCCATTACCTAGGTAAGTTCACCAAGGCAGAGATGAGATGATGCAGCATCACCAAATCCCTATGGATTAACACTAATGCTTTTCCTYCCTGAATACTTCACAGGTATGTGTAACAGCCTTTTCAGCTAAAACATGAACCTTTTTCTCCATCTCTAACACAAGGCCTTCAAACCCCACCYRTTTACAACAKCCTGCTTTCCAGGAAAAGGAACAGAGACAGCACAGATATAAAGCAACGGAGCTCCAGCGTGAGGGAAGAAGGCACAGCGTACCCCACTGGTAAGTGCGTGGCTCCGGCATGGTGGAGTGCTCCACCCTGCAAGAGTAGGTGTCACCACTCCTGGGGGTGAAGGGCACATGGACCAGGCGCTGGAATTGCCACTTCTCGTTGAAGGACAAGTCCCCGTACTGGACGTTGGGAATGGGCTCCCCGTTCTTCAGGAGCTCGACGTCAATCTTGGGTGGGTGAAAGCCGCTGATGAAACAGTGGAGGATGTTCTCCTTTCCCTCCTCAGCGCGTGAACGGGCGTAGACTTCAACCTTTGGCGCCTCTGGAGGGAGGGGCGAGGGCNCCTGCTTTCCAGGAAAAGGAACAGAGACAGCACAGATATAAAGCAACGGAGCTCCAGCGTGAGGGAAGAAGGCACAGCGTACCCCACTGGTAAGTGCGTGGCTCCGGCATGGTGGAGTGCTCCACCCTGCAAGAGTAGGTGTCACCACTCCTGGGGGTGAAGGGCACATGGACCAGGCGCTGGAATTGCCACTTCTCGTTGAAGGACAAGTCCCCGTACTGGACGTTGGGAATGGGCTCCCCGTTCTTCAGGAGCTCGACGTCAATCTTGGGTGGGTGAAAGCCGCTGATGAAACAGTGGAGGATGTTCTCCTTTCCCTCCTCAGCGCGTGAACGGGCGTAGACTTCAACCTTTGGCGCCTCTGGAGGGAGGGGCGAGGGCGTATGAGAATCGGCGCTGCGGTGGTGCCAACGCTCGCCCACCCACTCCGGCGCAGTGCCCGGGACCCACCGGGATCCCGAAGCCCTTCACCCCCGGCACGACCCTTCACGCTGCCCCAGACACTCACCACCGGCCGCCCCCAGGCCGAGCAGCGCCAGCAGCGCCAGCACACCGAGCGCCAGGGCCCTCCGCGCCATCGCCACCTCTCGCTGCCCCGCCGTTTCCCGGAAAGTCCCAGCCCCGCTCGCACTCCGGCCTTTTATAGCCTCCGGAACTCACGGCCAATCGTGGCGCGGAGCGGCAGTCGCGTCATCAGTCTCCGGGCAGAAAGGGAGCTCCGAGGTTCTCCGAGGTGCGCTCCAGAGCGCGGCTTTCGCTTTCGTTTCCGCGGTGGGTGGGGATGAGACCCGGGGTCGTCGGGCAAGAGCGGCTGGACGTGAGCCCAGKTATGCCCTGGTGGGCAATGGCAGCTTGTTTGGACCAGCCCCGGGGTGGTCACAGACCCAGGGCAGAGCCAGTCCCCTGTGCTGGGCACTKCTGAGGGAGGCSACAACCCAAATCCTGTTGTCAATTCTGTGCCCTTCACGACAACAAAGACATTGAGGGGCTGGAGGATGTCCTGGGAAGGGAATGGAGCTGGGGAAGGGGCTGGAGCAGCAGGAACAGCTGAGGGAACCTTCTTTGTCTATAACTCCCTGGTCGGAAGGTGCAGTCATGCAGTGTTGGGCTCTGCTCCCGGGGAATGAGGGACAGGACAAGAGGAAACAGCTTCAAGTAGTACCAGGGAAGGCTTAGGTTGGATCTTAAGGAAAATTTCTTCCCAGAAAGGCTATCCACAGACTGCCAGGGCAGTGCTGGAGTCCCATCCCTAAAGGGTTTTAAAAGCCGTGTGGATGTGACACTTGGGACATGGGTTAGTGGTGGCCTTGGCAGTGCTGGGGGAATGATTGGCCTATATGGTCACAGAGGGCTTTTCCAACAGAAATGGGGGAAAGAGACACCTGTTCCAGAAGATTCTGCCTCCAGGGCCGGTATTACACCAACAGCCTACAATGGAATAGGCCATCCACCTTCCTTTCTGAACCTCTTTCAAAGCCTGTGTGGAGTGTCTCAGTCCGGGGGCTCTGGGGTGAGGGATTGGATTGACTATTGCTCGAGCACAGCACAGACTCCTTAACATAAAACATGAGAATTGCAACAGCAGAGAACCAGTCATTCTGGTGCCTCCTGTGGGATAATTGTGAGCATGAAAGCCCAGCTAGGCTGGGAATGTCACTGAATGTCACAATGACGCTGCTTGGAGGAAAAAAGAAGGGAAAACAAAGGAAAGTCACTACTAGTTCAGAGAATACAGCAGCATAGTGTAAGTACCAAAACACTAATCCCCTTTAGGACCTGCTTTTTTATCACAAATCATTAAAACACAAATTAAATCAACAAAGCATATATGGAGAACATCCCAAAGACAGCAGGTARATGAGGAGCGGTAAAGCAAAAGAAAATCCTGAAAATACTTGTTATCAGTTCCCACTKGCCTAGCTCCTGCTGGGTTTGCTGGCTGCCCAGTGGGCGGTGCTGGCCATGCAGCTGAAAACACTCAATGTTTCTCTYCGTGTGGCATAAACAGATGCAGCTGCAGCCAGAGCCTTATCAGAGATCACAGGGCTCTGGCAGAAATAATCCCTGAGTGCTCCATTGGGAGTGGAGTTGTTATCAGGGTCACCACGCTGGGAATCACCACCCTGGTCCAGCTGACCCACAGCTGAATCTGGCTCTGCCCAAGTGGACAATCCCCTGGGAGAGGGGATGGCAGGACATGGATCCTTTCCATGCCCTTTGGRACATKAATCCCTTACAATGACTCTATAAYGTGGCACACCTGTCAGATTTTCCCTGTAAAGAGAAGCACAACTCTTTTCTACATGATATTTTTAAGAGCCACAAGCATTTGGTTAGAGCTGCCAAATCTTTCACTTTTGGGACATTTCTGCTTTTACTTGCATAATATTGGGAGGATTATTTGGGAGTGGGTGGCATGACAAAGGGGCTCCTGGTATCCAGGGGAAAAATGGCAACCTKCTATGCTTCGTGGGATGTAGAAATTTAATAATTTGAATTAGTGCTGGCACCTGTGCCCATGTCATCTATAGATGGGGATCCCTATGTATTCTGTGCCAGAATACCGCAGTCGGACAGACCACATCCCCCYAGTTGTCCGTAATTCCTCAGAAACATATCAGCTCTGAGAACACCACGGCAGGCAGGGAGCGACGGGAGCAGTGGGAAAAGCCAGGCTGGAGGGTTCTGTGCTCTGAGAGCCGCAGGCRGGGTCACTAAATCCACCCATCCTTATTCCCTCGGCTCCGGGAATTCCCCCGCCGGGGCACGGCGAGGCGAGCGCGCAGGCGCAGAGCCCCGCTGGGCGCCGCCATGTTGTACGGTAGGCACAGGTGCAAGGCTCCATGGGCGCCGCCATGTTGTACGGTAGGCACAGGTGCAAGGCTCCACGGGCGCCGCCATGCTGTACGGCAGGCGCATGCCGGCGTGACGGGGGCGGCCCGTAAAAGGGGACGGCTGGGGCAGCGCGGCCCCGTAGAGGGACCCGGGACGGACGGAGGGTGGGTGGACGGGAGGAGGAGGCGCCGCGGGATGGCGGAGGGTGGCCAGCCCGTTGTGAGTGCCCGCCCTGCTCCGCTTCCCCACTCCCCGCTGGCGCCTCCCGGCGACCCGCCCCCTTCGCGGCGCTTGTTCTCCGAGGCTGGCGCTCCCCGGAGCGGTCGGTCCCGGAGCAGACGCTGCCCTGGAGGTGCTGGTGGGATGCTCTRCCCCGCATCTACGTGTGCTCGCGTGCCGCTCGTGCCCTCATAGCGGGTGTTCACTCTGAAGCCTGATGGTGTCTCAGCACTACGCTGGTGCCGTTCCGTGCCCGCATTCGCTGGCACCGGCAGCTTCCGCGGGCTGAGGCTGCGGGTCCTGCCCTCGCTGGCAGTGCCACTGGSTCCTGCTTTTCCGTTTGCCAGCTGTGAGCCCTGGGGGCTGTCTGGCACCACCAGCAGAGTGGGGAGGAGGTTGGGTGCCTCTGCAAAGGGAGTATGTTAGGGTTACCTCTCCCTTAGTGAGAACTCTGCTGCTTCCAAATCCAGATCCTYGAGGATTTCCTGCTGGTGGAAGATGCACTTCTGCTGGAAGAGATGGCTGAGGAGGATGAGGAGCTCGACCTGTACAACGAGATGACTTTTGGGTTAGGTAAGACCTCAGGTGAACCCCGGTGTTGGAGAGACTGTCCAGCACCCAACAGGGGGAGCAGAGACTCTGGTGGTCACTGCCAGGCATTCACCCACCCTACTGTGCTCTACTTCCCCTCTCCAAGACCRAAACTCCACAGAGGAGGATGTCCCCAAGCTCCTGGTGCCACCGGAGATAAGCCCTGAGGTGGTCAAAGCGTTGGCAGGGGCGACTGGAAGAACAGCTGAGCAGCTGGAGGAGCTGGGAGAGCCCCAGGAAGAAGGTGGGATAGAACTGGAAGTGGAGCAGGTGAGCTCTGAGTTGGAGGAAGAGGAGCTGGGGAGTGAGGAAGAGGAGGAGTGCTTTGAGGAGCCCAACAAGCTGGGTGACCCAGCAGTGATGAGAGCTGTGCAGAGCAAACCCACGCTGGAGGTGAGGGGAGAGGGGGGGTCCTGCTGCTCCCCCCTCCATCCCCACACGTGTGGGTCCTGCCCCACAGAGGGCACTGGGAGAGGGAGGCAGACTTCTATCTCCCATTTCCTTGCAGAGCCAGGACTCGGCGGTGCTGGACAGCAGGATTGGTACTTGCTGGGGAGAGTTTGGCAAGGAGGACTTGGTAAAAATGTCCCCTCCCATCTGGTGATGAGGCTAAGTGGTCCCTGYGCTGTCCCCTGTGCTGTCCCCTGCCCTCTCCTCCTGTTCACTTGCCTCATGCCAACCATCTCCCTGTCTTCCAGCTGACGATGGATCCCATGGCATGGGGCTCCTGCCCTGGCAGTGTCCCACCCCACCTTGTGCTGGAGGTGGGTACCCACAGCCAGACCTGCAGGAGTGGCCAAGGGCTTCCCACTACTCCAGAATAAGGGTCACACAGGGAATTTGGGGCAACTAGGGCATCTCCAAACCCTCATCATGGCTCTGGAGGTGCATGGATGTGTCTGTGGGTGCCCCCCCCAAAGTAGAGGCTGGATTTGAAGGCAAAGTTGTTGAATTTGTGGGGACTGGGATCCCATACTGAGTGTTCTCTTGGGTCCCCAGCTGCTCCACACTACCAGGGTGTGAGCTCAGCTGGTGCATGGTCTTGATTGAGCAATGACCAAAGGTTTTGGTGAGCTGCCTGATGCTGGGGAAGCTAAACTGTTCCCAGCTGTGCCTCGTTCCCACTTGCTGCTGCCTCTTCCCCACAGGATAAAGCCATCCTCCAAGTCCTGGGGAGGCCCCCACCATCCTCCAAGATGGCCCTTGACTTCCTYGGCTCTCCTGCGCAGAGGGGCTATGGGGGCTCTCCTCAGCTCAAGCGCCCTGACTTAAGACTGATGTCCCCCAATTCCTTCCCCCAGTGCTTTCTCCAGCAGGTAACAGGTTTGGGGGCTCTCGCATCCCTGCTTTCTCTGCCTTCCCTCCCTGGAGATGCAGCCTCAAGGATAGGCTTGTCCCAGTGACACCTCCTGTCTCCTGCTCTGCAGCAGGCACCCCTGGTGCCTCCTCGCTCCCCGTGCTCTCCTCGGCCTTTCCCACCAGCTTGCAGACCCCCTCCACTCTTCACCCCCAACCAGGTAAGGTGGTGGGCTTTGAGCCACTGCCATGGCCCCACTGAAGTGGCCCTGGAGTGGCAGGGGATAGGGACAGTGGCAGTATCTGGGAGACAGTGCTTTGCCAGAGGGTAGCTCCTGTGGGGATGGGAGCCAGAAGCCAGCACGGAGCTGGCTGACCCCTCTGAGATGCTGAGAGGGGAAGTCTCAGACCCTTGATCTCCTCTCTCCCTCTCAGACTGCAGGGTATGCACCTCCGCCCCCTTTCCAGCCCAGGTCCCCCACCGTGGGCAGCCCACCGCGGCCCCTGGCCATGCACTTCGGGCCCATGTCCCCTTCTTTGGACCCTGCTCTCTTCTTCAGCCCATCAGCCATGGGCCAGCTGAACCTCAGGTAGCAGGAGTGGGGTGTTGGGGTGGGACTGGAGGGGCTCAGCAAAGCAGCTGGGGGTCACCCCGCTCTGGGGGTGTCCCAAAATTCCCCTTGACCCTTGCCTGGTGTCCCCTGCAGCACACCCAGTCACATGACCCAGCTGCATCCCCAGCACCAGCGCATCCTGACGCAGCGGCAGCAGCAGGGCAGGCAGGCGCAGAGGTATGGGGGTCTGTGGGGTGCAGGGGGGCTCCAGGTGGTCACAGTGGGCTGAGGTCTTCTCCTGTGCCAGTGTCTCCCCCAAGAAGCTGTGGTCTCGTAAAGCGGACCCTCACGCTGGGCTGATGACTTCCAAGGAGAAGGACTGGGTCATCAAGGTGGAGATGATTCAGCTGCAGAGTGAGAACATGGATGATGACTACTACTACCAGGTGAGCTCCTGCTGGCAGCACCTGTGGCTTATTCCCTCAGGGCAGGGCTTTGGGAGCCAGAGGAACCCTCCAGGGCTGGTAGAGGGGACTTCTGGCTGTGYCTGTTGTTGCAGTCCTACTACCACCGGCTGGAGCGCAAACAGGCGGAGGAGGAGCTACTGGGTGGGCGCAACAAGCAGGAGCCCCCCAAGCTGGTCACACCGTTCATCCAGAAAGTGGAGACCTATGACTCTGGTGAGGGGCTGGGGTGGGTGCTGGGGGGCTGGGTGAGGAGCTCTGGGACACRGAGTCACTGTGTTCCCCCTCTCCTGCAGTGGTGCGCATCGCTGGCTCGCTGGGCCAGGTCGCCGTGTCCACCTGCTACAGCCCTCGCCGGGCCATCGATGCTGTGCACCATGCCCTCGTGGAGGAGGTAGGTGAAGGACAGCTGGGCTGATGGGTACCCTGAATTGCTAGGAATGCTGCTTTTGGAGCTGCCCTGAGCAGTGGGAGGGGCACACAGGCCACCTCAGCAGTGGCAGTTTGTGCCTGCCAGGGGCTGGGATCGGTCTCCAGCCATGGTTTTCCCAAGGGGCTGCTCTGTGTCCTGAAGCTACTGCCAATCCCCAGAGAGCAGCTGGCCCAGAATTGGGCTAGTGGCAGTGTCTGGGGCTGGCTGTGACCCTTGTGCCTTCCTTTCTCCCCTCCCAAAGGCCACAGGGAGCCACCGGCTGCGGGCACTGCACAGGATTGAGAAGGTGAGTGAGAGGTGATTGGGGGCAGGGCAGGATTGTCCAGGTGTTCTRTTTTCATCCAGGGATTTCTCTAAGGGAACATCTACCTAGGCAGGGTCCTGGATAGCCATTTGGTAGAAGATGCTCCAAGCTTCCTCCTTACCATGGGCTGTTTCTCCAGCTCTTCCTGCAGCTCATGGAAGTAGAGGAGGCACAACGGAAAATGTCCCTGGCCCTGGGGGAGCAACAGCCCCCCAGGCAGGAGCAGAAGAGCCAAGAAGTAGAGAGTATCTACCAAGCCTTGAAAATCAGGGCTTGCAGCGGCGAAGAGTGAGTCTGTGCTGTGGGGACTAGGCAGCGTGTCCTGCTCCTCATGGATCTGAGGTGGTCACGGATGATGAGCAGGTCTGGGGYASGGGAGGGTTGGGTCCTTCCCTCCAYRTGTCACTCCAGCCTCTGCTGACCCTGCCCGTGAACCTTGTCCTCCAGTGGAGCTGGTGCTGGTCCTTTTGGACAGACAGAGGTGCTCCAGGTCCTTCAGGATTTGTGCCAATGGAGCCTTTGTTCCCAGGGAGGCAGAAGATGAATTCCTGCAACTGTTGTGTGTGCGGAAAGGCAAGAAGCTCATGGCCCGGCTGCTGCCCCACCTGACCCGAGAGCAAGCKGAGAAGGTCCTGCTGACCATCACCCACCACCTGCCCTTCCTCATGAAGAAGGACATGCTAGATGAGGCGAGCATCTGCAGCCAGGGCAGGGATGGCCCAGGCTGCCTCCTTCCTCCTCTGTTCTTGCTGGGGGGGGCACCCTGGACAGTGAGGGGGGCCTTGTCTTGTGTGGTTAGTGTGAGATAGGAGCCTCTTCCCATCCTTGGGGAGGAGGAGAAAGGTCTCCAGGAGTCAACCACCAGCAGTCCTGGTGCTGGGATGGGGTTGTGGCTGTGACAGGTTGAAGAGTCTCAGATTCCTGCTCTCTCCTCTGCTCTGCCCAGTCTCTCCCCCTGCTCTACAGCCCATTGAATGCAGTGGTGGGTGGGATGACCTTCAGCAAACTCATTGAGGTCCTTCAGGAGCTGACCCGACCTCTGCCTGAGTCTCCGGAGCTCCCCCTCACCATGGCCTTGAAGAACCAGGTATGTGGGCCCGAGCCTTGCCATGTCCCTGGAGTGCCACTGCTGCTGGCTGTGACACTGCTGGTGCTTCCCTGCAGTTTGGCATCTCCTTGCTCTACACTCTGCTGAGCCATGGAGAGAGGCTGCTGTCRTCGGATGCGCCGCTGGAGCCACGCAGGGGGGACTTTGAGGCATGGTGAGAGGGGTTGTGTGACCTGGGGGGGTTTGTTACTGCACTCCAGGGTGCTCAGCCCCTGTGCTGCAYGCTCACTCCTGTTCTGGTGCCTCCAGGACTGACACAGTGTACCTGGTGGCCCGGGAGCTGTCACAGCTGCCCAAGGCCTCACTGGTGGAGCCTCTCTTCTTGCCCAGCAACCTCCTCTCGCTCTTCTGCCGCTACCTGGACAAGCAGACTGTCCACCACCTGGAAGCTAAGATGGAGTGAGTATCACCTGGAATGGCTCCCTGCCTATCCTGGGAATCCCCTGGGAGAGGAGCAGACAGCACTGGGGGCTCACTGCTTCCATCCCCCTTTGGAATTATCTCCAGACCTCCACCAGGCTGAGCTGATCCTGGTGTCTTTGCTCCCACTTCTTTGGGACAGTTCAGCGACCTGATATTCCAAGCTCATCCTTTCCTTGCAGGTGCTCCCCACTGCCCTCGGAGGCTGCCATGTTATGCTGAGCCCCGGGAGCGGGGGCTGGGGTCCAGGGCCGGCAGTACCGGGAGCGGGCAGGGCCCGATGCTGTGGCTTTGGAAGCTAACTCTTACCCTGATGCGGAGCAATCTGGGTGACACGGGCATTGGCAGGGCTGGCACCGGGGGCTGATGCTGCCCTGTCCCGCTGCCCGGGAGCACGGGGGTGGGTGGGTGTAACTTATTTTGGCCTCGCCCCGGGCAGCGGGGGGCGCTGGGTCACCGTGGGGGCTGAGGTGGGGTCTGCACAGGGGCGCTGGGAGCACCTCGGGGGTGGGATTTTGTGTACAGCACACTGTGTATAGCACTTGAAATAAAATAAAAAGGTGTTTAACAAGCTCCTCTGGCTCCTGGGGACAGCTTATAATGRATGCAGTGCTGGGCATGCAGACCCCTGGCCTTGGATGTGGATCTGTAAAGGGAAAGGAGAAGAAGGGAGGGAGAAAGGAGTGTTTGGAGAGGGTATCAGAGAACCTGGGAACTGAGCAGCCAGGGAGTGGAATGGGCTKGGAAAGAAGGGATGTGTTGGGTCAGATGAGTCAGAGTTCACCCTGATCAGGAAGTAAAGATCTATGCAGGCGTCTGGCAGCACATGGGATCATTTGGTGGGGATCTTAAACATGTGTGGGTGGTAATAAAGCACCTGTTGTCTCTGATGAGCTCCCAAAGGCTCTTTAGCCTGAAGTCTTACAGTCATGGCCACAATGAAGTACCTTGAGGCATCTTTCTGTGCAATTTTGGCTACCCCAAGCTGATTCTCACTTTTGCAGCTGAGGCTGAACAGGTGCCATGTCTGCTGCCATGTCTGCTCTACGCTGTGAGAATCTTTGTAGCTCCTGCCTGGTTTTATGGGGAGATTTCCCCTAATCCTATAGGGCAGCTGGCACTGGGCCACCTCCACCCATCCAGAGGTCTAAACCTCACATCCAAAGCCTGGTGTGTATTCTAAAGAGATTTGCAGCAGAAAGTTGTCTCACACTGCCCAAGCTCCAGCCCTAAGTGGATGAAACTATTCCTTTAAAAGGGCATTCTTYAGGGGCTAAAGGGAGAATTTACAGAGAATAAGAATGTGAGGGGTTGGGTGGGATTTATCTCCACTGCTTATCAAGGCAGCTCAGTTTCCTCTGCTGCAGAGTGCAAAGTTCAGCTGGCAGGATGTCCTGATCCTCTGGCAGCCCCATCTCCTGCTGCCTCACTTCATCCAAAAGGATGTATATGCTCCCCACACTTTATCCTGAGGGAATTTTCTGGGACAACTGTGTTCATCCCTAGCCCTCCTCTTCAAAAAAAGTGACACTGGCAGGTTCTCCATGGGGTGAACCCCTTGTTCCAAACCCACTGAGGCAATCTGGGAGGATTCTGGTGTGGGGTGTCATCTGTCAGTGAAAGACCAGACCTTGCTGTTACAAATCCCAGGGAGAATTTCAAGCAGGACAGAATTAGCAGCTGCTCATTGAGAGCAGGAATTGGGGAGGACACTGGCAAGTCCTTCAGATAAGGATAAGCTGTGTTATGTTTTCCATTTGCTCCTTGCCTGGGAGCCAGTGAGGATGGAAGTGTGACCTGGCTGCAAACACGTACTTAGACAAATTCTCTAGCATGGAAGGATTGGAGATCTCTGCTGGATTTTTCTGCTTCATTGCAGGAGTCAGCTGAGGGAAAAAAAGGAAAAACCATCTCTTTGTTGCTAGCTCACAGCACCCAGTGTTTCCCAGTTGGAGAAACAGATCCCCTCCATGGGGCTCTGGAGTGAATCCAGCTGAGGTGTATCCTGCAGGTCAGGGTTTTGGGACCCCCAAACCATTCACCTGCATCAGAATGGTCTCCCTTAATCCAGAACTGATGGAAGTCAAGGGTGTCTCAGATGCTCTGCCCTTCCTGCTGCCCTGCCCGGCTCCTCCTGGTGCTCTCCTGAGAGGATCACAGGTCCCACAGGATGGTGGTGACCCGTGATCCATGACTATGAGATGGCTGTCACTGTCATGGGGGTATGGGGCTCATTTGGGATGTTTTGTGKTGAATGGAGGTCATCCAGGGATGTCTTGGGTGTTGTGTGGGGTTAATCCTGAAACATCTTCGTTGTGTGTGTCTCATCCTGAGATATCTTGGAGGGCATAGAGCTTATCCTGAGATGTCTTGGGGGGTGTGTGACATCCCATCRTCTTGGGATGTCTGGGGGTAGAACGGAGTTAACCTTGGGATGTCTCAAGGGTATAGGGCTCATCCTGGATCCTTTTCAGGATATAAGGCTCATTCTGGGGTGTCTTGGGGGTTGTAGGGCTCATCGTGGGATGTCTGAGTGGATGTATGGGGTTCATCCTGGGGTGTCTTGGAGATATAAGGCTCATCCTGAGACTTTTTTGGGGCATATAAGGCTCATCCTGGGCCATCTCCAAGGTATGGAGCTCATGCTGGACTCTTTGGGTGAGTGTATGTGGCTTATCCTGAGATGTCTTGAGAGGTTTGTGACTCATCCTGAGAYGTCTTGGAGGTTGTATGAGTTTATCCTGGACATCTTCAGGGTCTGGGGCCCATCCTGGAACATCTGGGGGATTGCATGGCTTATCCTGGGATGTCTGGAGTGCTATAGGGCTTATTCTGGGATATCCTGGAGGTTGTATGGGGTTCATTCTGGGACATGTCCAKTTATGTGGCTCATCCTGGGGTGTTTTCAGGACTGCGGGGCTCATCCTGGGACATCGTCAGGGTACAGGGCTCATCCTGGGTGTTTTTCTGGGCGGAAGGGACTCAGGTTGGGATGATCTGGGCTACACGGGAACACTCCCCGAGCTCTGGAGGAGACAGGGTACCACCCCTCGGGGTATCGGGAGGACACGGGATCACCCCCGGGCTGTCGAGGGGACAGGGGGCCACTCCCCGGGGTAGCGAGAGGACACGGGATCGCCCCCGCGCTGTCGAGGGGACACGGGATCACCCCCGGGCTGTCGAGGGGACACGGGATCACCCCCGGGCTGTCGAGGGGACACGGGATCGCCCCCGGGCTGTCGAGGGGACACGGGATCACCCCCGGGCTGTCGAGGGCCCGCAGCCGCCTCAGCCGGGGCGCTGAGGGGACACGGCGCCCCGGGGTCATCCACTTCTCCCAGGGAGAGGGAACACGCTCCCCTCTCGGCCGGCACAATGGTACAGCCGGCACCCCCGTTTCCATGGTGACGGAGCGACGCCTGCCAGCGGCGGAGCTCATTGGCTGTCGCCGCCGCGATGGGCGGGGCGGGCGGAGGCACTGCCCAATCCGAAGCCCGTCCGCAGCTGAGGCCCCGCCCCGCGGGTTAAGGCGCGGCGGGCGCTTCCGGCGGGGCGGGCGCGGGCGGAAGCGGCGGCGATGGCGTCGGGCGGCGGCCKCGGGTCCCGCTCGCCCTCCCCGACCGAACGCCGCCCGCCGCCCTTCCCCGAGCACCGCGGGCCGGGGGCTTCCGACAGCGACTCGGAGGGCGAGGACATCTTCACCGGCAGCGTGAGTGCAGCCAAGGGCGGGGCGCCGCCCCGGGGGCGCTGCGGGGTCGGGCCCGTGTGTGAGGGGTTGCCTCTTGTCACCCGGCGGGGCATCCTCTGGGCTTGGTGAAAAAATACGGGGGAGCACCCTCAAATCCTCCGGAGTAAAGGCGAGGCGATGCCTCTGGACTCGTGTCCCTTCAGGAGGGACCTCGTTGGGGCTGCGGAGAGAGGGAGCGGCGGGGCTGGCTGGGGGTTCGGAGCGGCTCCCGTGGCTGTGGGATTGCGAAAGGCCTCAGGCTCTGCTGCTCCCCCTTTTCCCGGAGWTGTAACCTCTCTATTCCTGCAGAGCTACTGTCTGAGGCCGGGTTGGATGGGASTGGGAGCAGCCTGCTCTGGCGGAAGGTGTCCCTGCCCATGGCAAGGGGTGGAATGAGGTGGGCTTCAAGGCCCCTCGCGGCCGTCCCACAGTGGCAGCCACAGCTCAGCCTCMTTTCTGTGCAGCTTGTGAGGCTTCACTGAGGGGAGAAGCCCCACCTGCCTTCCCCCAGAATCAGCAGCTCTGGTTCCCTCAACATCCAGAGAGTGCTGCTGTGGCTGGCGTGGCACCCTCAGTCTGAGATTGAGGGTGGCGTGGGGCGTGACACAAGAGGCATCCAGTGTCCCCTGCTCAGTAGTCCCTTGTGCTGGGCTRTAGGAGTATCTTGGAGGACTTGGTGGTAGTTGTTCAGCAAACCAGGTGCTGCTGCACAGATCCATGCAGAAGGTGGAGATGTGAAGGGTTTCTGCATCTTTCCTTGTGTCCAGCAGTCTCCTGTGCAGGAAGTCCGGGTTGCTGGAGTCTGTTGGCATTAACTTGTGCTGGYATTGTCCCAGGTTTGCTTCAGACAGTGACCAGAAGGCAGGAAGGGAGGTAAAACACTGACTGCTGCTTTCCCAAGCTGAATACTTCCCCAGTCAGCCACTGGCCCCTGGTCCTTGGTATCAGTGTCTTCATGGAGCAAGGATCTCAGCTAGGGGGGCTCCAGAAGCTCTTCCAGCAGGCTGGAGTGCCRTGGGGTTGATTCCCTGAGTTCTGGGAGCCCCTGCCCATCTCACCCAGACTTTTTCCAGCCTGCCTGATCCAGCTGGCAGTACAGGAGGAGTTGGTGTCTGTGTCAGGAAGCTTTCCAGGAACATTCTGCAGTTTTCCAGCCCAGGGAGGCCTCAAGCAGGAGATTGTGGCCATGACCAAATGACCCTGCTGTGAATGGCCTGGCCAAGCTTCTCCTGCCACKGACACAAAGCCAGAGTTCT